TAGTAGTAGTAGTAGTAGTATGGTCGCCATTGGTTGTGTCCCGCATTGTGTGTCGAGTTGCCTCCACAAATCCAACGAAATCAAAGGTGGGCGACACAGAGAAGAGGGGCCTCCTCCGCCTCATGCGCATGGCCCACCCGGAGGGAGTGTGCAGCTCAATGTCTCAAGCCAGTCTTGGTGATCGTCGTCTAGGCTGTCGTTTGCAGTCATGGACCGCCTTGCACCTGCATCTGCCAGCTTCACATCGACAAGCCTCGCCATCCATCTTGGATCCCGAAGTGCGCTACGCAAAAGAAGGCGGAGCAACGTGAAGGGTTGATGCCGACGAAGCGGACGACACACACACACAGAGGACCTGATCTCATTTGCGTTGTACAGGACTACAGTGCTTTGCCCACTGCGGCGTCCGACCCCAAGACAGTGTTACACAAGGGCACGGCCGTAAGATGCAGCAAGCCATAGTGACATCTTCGATGCATGAAGGCCATGGCTGCAACATGCATAGTCACTGCACCGTCGCGCTCTGTGCCCGCTCACATTACCCCCTGCTGAGGCTCAGCATGATGCAGAAGTCTGCGTCCAGCCCTGCCCTACGCTGATGCCGTACAGAGCACTACTAACTCTGCAGTCCGGTCTCTCTTCGGGAACTTTGATTTTAGCTCTTCTGTGGCATGCTTCTGTCCGCGTGAGTTAAGTGATGTTACGTGTTCGATCAGTCGTTGCAGAGAGACCTGGCTGCAACTGTAAGCAAGATTGGCGTTCTAGGCCACATGACTAGCCAGGCCTCTTGAAGAGAGGCTCCAGTCAGCCCTGGTGAGAGACAGCTTTGACAAGACAAGATGACGAGCACTTCCGCGGTCAAAGCTGACCTCGAAGCTGAAAGAAGCGTTTCACCCGCACTGGTGGCTTTCGGAGCGTTTGACTTCTGCGTCCCGGCAGCAGCTGCGCAACAGAGAAAGGGCTACGGGTCGGCAGGCTCAGCTTGAGACCTTCGAGTCAGCCATTCACGATCGTTCAGACTCACGACTAGGTAAAATAGGTAGGGTTAAACTTCAGCTCGGTGTTGAAGGACCCATGGGCTCATGGATGTCTTTGCCGGAAAGCGTTCTATCAGCCGCCTAGCTCCTGGGTCCTGGGTCGGCGCTTCAAGAGCAACGTTCTACCTTGAGGTGGCCTTCGGAGACTGGTACCTAGCAGCTAGCAGAGCTTCTTTCGGCACGTCCGGGAAGACCTCAGAAACATCCCTTCGTGCAGCATGCACACCTCGAATCGAGCCATGCGGCATTGCGGTCGCTGTGCCAGCGACGAGCATCATGCTCGCATGCGCTGCAGACGGTGCTACCCTCAGCCTGGTCGCCAGCAGCCACTGCCCCTGACCTCTCGAATAATAGATTTCCGTGCATTCTCCGTCGTCCTGCATCGGCGGGCGGCGGACGATATGCTCAACTTTAATGATGGAGATGTTCCGGTGCAGTACTGATTCCTAGGCCGGGGTGGTCCCTTCGCGCTCGCCCGTCGTCTCAAACGCCTCAATGGCCCTTGGTCGCAGGCGGCAACAGTCAATTTACAGTAAGCCTGTTAGCCACAGATCCTTAGCTGCAGACTACTGGACCGCTTCTGTCCACGTTTTTGCGTGCACTGCTAAGTAACAGTCGGCATGGAGGCGATTCTCATCATGGCAGAGGAGTGCGAGCAAAAGGCCACGGCCTTTACCAACACACGCTTCGCTAAATGCTCAAATGCTCAATCCAGCCTGTCCCTGAGCAGGTTACGTACTAGATGGATTGCTGTGGTCAAGCCATGCAGTCTGACAAAGGTTCATTGCAGGTATGTCTTTCGGCTCTTCAGAGCTCGAGGAGGGCGAGGAAATGGTTGATACATGAGCATGGACCATGGGCTCGGATTCGCGAATGAACCATACTTGGTCCTTCAAACCTGATTTAGCTCATGGCTGGCCTGCGTGCGAGTTCCAACCCCTGCCCAAAAGAGGACGGAGACGATGCCTGGTTCCCGTGCCCATGGCAAACCTGGCGCCCAGATTGTACTGGTAGCAACGATCCAGAGCTCTCGCAGCACTGCCCACTGCTATGAAGTATATAGGTCTGGAGGAAGGCCACGTTCAGGATGAGAAGCGTGACCGCGTGCTTGTAGCGTTTTGGTTCAAAATCCTTACGTCTTCTGCCGAACTTTGTAGGTTGCCCCGGATCTCGTTGTCTTCAACACCTTGCTGTCGGTGCTCGGCCGAGGCGGTGCTTGGGTGTCTTGGCTCGGATATCGCACGACGACAACTACAACTGTTGCTGTTGATACCAGGCATCCTGCATCGATTTGTGTAGACAGTTTTTTTCCCATGCAACCCCGGTTTCAATGTTGTGAAAGCCAAAAAGCGTCATGCAGAATGTTTATGATTCGCGCCTGCCCAGTTTCCAGTGGTTTTCGGCTGAATATTGAGACCAGGGGGTCTGGGAGAAGAGAACTGTCTACACAAAGCTTAGTGTTGAAGGGAAAACCGCTGGAAACAGGGCAGGTGCGAATGATAAATCCTGTGCCACAATCAAAGGGCTGCGGGGAAGCCCAGCGTGGATCCTTGTTGACATCACTGTCGGTTCTCGTCCTACTACTACGACGACGACTACTACTATTGAATCTGCTACAGGTATAATGTATATCTGCATGTGTGTATGCAAGCATGTATGTATGTACGCACGCGTATACATGAATAGATGTATGTATATAAAATAATCTTTTCCCGCTGATATTTAACCGGGGGGCCCCTCCCCTCATAAAAAACTGGGAGCATTTTGATATTATTAGGGTGTGTGTTTTATTATCTCGCGCACACATGCACAAATACACACACACACACACACACACACACACACACACACACACAGACACACACACACACGCCAACCACTACCCACAGATGTGCCTCAAAGTGTCTAGTCGGCGCCAAGAGAGCTATGGCTGTTGTTT